GAGGGAGGGAGGATGGCAAAAGAAAAGAAAAACTCACAAGGATTTCATTACTTGGATAAACAAAATTGGCATGGTAAAAGTTGGAGAAGCCCAACCTCTGAGCTTAGCCCTTCCAAAAGAAATGTAACACTACAAGGAATTTCAGTTCTTTATCTCTTAAAACAATTCAACAAACAATCTAATCACTTCTAGACCTAAAAAAATCAAACATTTTAATCTGAAAAATATTTCTTAATAAAAGATTATTTCCTGACAAAAGACAATGAGTCACCTTGATTGAGAAACAAATGTTGAAAAAGTAGCAATTTGTGGCAGAGCCAGAAGTCATTCAGATTAAAGGGCAATCCTGTCAGTTTCACCTTATGAAAGAGGTGAGTATTTGCCTTGTAACATTAACACACGGGTGACATAAAGAAGTAAAATTGAAGGTCACACTAGAAATAAAACTTGATGAATCATTAGAAATCTGAAAATCACCCACGTAATCATCAAAGTTTAATGTCAAGCACAGAAAGTTTGGAAAAAAGAGAAGCAAGTTGTATGGCTAAGAAAAATCAGAAAAAAAGATAGAATTTTTTAAAAAAAGAAAAAAGAAAATTCCCTATAATTATCCTTTTATGTTCTCTCTGAAGTGGTGTGGAGGAAATTTGCTAAATGATCATTTTCGCATATCAATATGGTATCTTCCCTATTGAGAAGCAAGTTCAAAGGAAAATAAAATTTAAGAGGCGTACGTTTTGGGAAGCATTAATTCCATTTTTTAAGAAAAGAAAACAGTTCTGGGGGAAAAAATCACATTAAACAACAAAATTCCCCCTTTAATTCTACCCCAAAACTTTTTTATACATTACTCTAGGGCTTTAAGAAGGAAATGACATACCTAATATCATGGGTTGAATTACTAATTTATAAAGAATGAGAGAGAATATTTTACATAACTGAGGTTAGCAACTACTTTTTATATTAAGTATCTTCAGGGAAGAAATCAACCTTTATCTAATTAGATACATTATGTGACCAGAAAGCAATCGATATATTTTGCAAACTCACAAGTAGTCAAATTAAAAACCACTTGTCCGTTTAGCATCTTCATTTTAATCAGTGAATTGATCGTATTATCAATAGAACTATGCTTCAAAGCACTTCATAGTTTTAAATCCATATGTGGAGAATGGGGACATTTTGTAATAACTCAATAGGACCACAAAATGATACAATAATGGATTCAAAGGTAATTTCAGAAAAGCATAAATTTCATTATGAAGAGGTTTTATCAAAAAACCCATCTAATTCAGAAAGAAAAGAAGCTTCCTAGCCTATGCCATTTTGATGTAAAAGCTGTTAATTAATAAGCCTCAATTACTTTATCCTGCATGTGGTTTCCAGCTTTCAGAGGACGTCTCGACGCAAATTTTCAGTTCATTATCAGTTCAAAAGGCTGCCCAGTTGCACCTTCTTAAGCTACAGTAAATACATTTCCGTCTGCTCTCATCATCTTTAGTGTCTGATGTTTTGCAACAGAGAGTTTTGAAATCATGTTTTATGGCAGTGAAGCTGCTAGGGGACATTTATTGACTTAACAATCTCATTCAACATCTGTCATATGGAACTGTCCCCAGTACAAGGCAGATTAGTGAATGCAAGCTGCTTCAATTTGGCCCAACATTCTGGCTAAAGAATTTTCCATTACATGGGTGGGTGACAGCAACTGACTTTGGAACCGTTCCATTTACTCTGTGGCGGCAGAAGAGAGCACAATAGTAACGAGGACTGAATTTGAGCTCACTCTCTTCTATCGAAGCGTTCTGATGAAGCAGCAATGCTGACAGTGTAAGTTGTTATTACTCAATTTACTTTTCAAGTAGACCTAAGCATCTACACTTGTGAGCTGTCGTTAGTATCTGCCTCCACTGTAGATTCTGGTTCCAATGAGATGGGAGTTGGAGCTCAATATGAAGAGGCAGGTTGATAGTATATGGAGTTTCTCACTGTGCAGTGACCCCAAGGTTCTATCATCGTTTCCTCTCTCATGCAAGGTCAATGAATAAGGTCAAGGAATGTTTGGAATGCACTTTTAAGTAGTATGCTGGAGTTCTTTCAATTCCAACAGTCTGCAGACTCCTATCACTTGCCATGTTCCACACAGAAACTGGGATACACAAAAGAATAAATTTGTTGAAAGAAAAATAAATAAGATTATGTCTTCAGGACCTTAATTTTTGCAAAATAACTTAAATTTTCAACAAATTATGTGAAAATACATAGGTTATGTTGTACATAAACAAAGCTTTAAACTTGCTATATAGTCAGGAAAAGCAAAGCAAAGAAATGGCAACTCCTTTTAATGACAAGAATTTTCTGCACTTGAAAATAAAATTTATCATTTTAGAGGAGAGCAAATTGTGATAAATTATTGGTAGATTAATTTGAAATTCTACAAAGAATCTTGTTTAAAGTAAAATGCATAAATTGGAAATTATAACACAATAGGAAAAAGTTATTGTATTACAGAATTAGATCATATCTTAAAGAATGTAAGTTACATGGATCATGTGTGAAAATCACGAACTATTGGCATTTTTGTCACATAAGAATAGATTACTCTTATAAAGTTTTATCATGATCCTATACTATCTAAAATGTTACATTAAACCTCTAAAATGTTAGTGTCATACAAGAAATAGATATTTAATGTGTTTTGTTGATAATGAAAATATGCTTTCTTAACAGGAATTTTCATTTTTGTTATGTGTGGAGTTAGTTAAATCAACCCTGTATTTAATTTAAATTGAGGAATATATTATATTCCATTAAATGCAAATAATTTCCTATAATTATCATTTTCAATATTATCAGCACTTTCTAAAAATTTTTAATTTATCAAAATCATGTCAGTCTTTACAAGTGTGTACAAATAAACAGAAAATATTTTCATCCCTGCTTTATAAATAAAAACTGTAATCAAAAGAAAGTATTTATAATGAATTTTTTTCAAGGCTATATATGGACTTCAGATCCAGTCAGAGTTCATCTTAGAATTTTAAGTAACCCAAATTTTAGAATTTGAAGGACCCTTTTAAAGTACCTGACCCAAATGCCTCATTTTATACAGCCGAGACAGAGGGAACAACTTGCTCAGGGTTATAAAGCTCATATGTGGCAGATAAGATATTCCTTATGCTTCATAAGTATAGATGTCATTTATATTTTCAAGAAGATAGTTATCAGTTTCAAACTAAAACTTAAAAAGAGTATATCACCTTATATTCCTTTTATAAGACTATTTTTTAATACAGATTACCAGATGTCATGATCTTACCTCTCTTAGTTGTTTCCAAATTTTTGGATTGCTTACATTGTTTATTCATGTAATGTTTAAGATATAAAATATATACCCCATGCCTGTTCATTGCATTATAATAAGACAAATAAACATATAGAGTTTTTCTTTGAAATAATTTATGAAGGCTTATATTGTATAAATGTGTATTTTTATCTTTTCCCCAAGTATCTAATAAAGCACCACTGACAACCTTCCATTAGACGTCCTCCAACATATAGGATATATTAAAGAAAGGTAGTAAATCTTTTTTACANAGCACCACTGACAACCTTCCATTAGACCTCCTCCAACATATAGGATATATTAAAGAAAGGTAGTAAATCTTTTTTACACATAAACCAAATGAACAAGGAAGTCTTAAATAACTTGAGAACCTATCTTCTAACTATGTTGCTCAATCTAGGGCATCACATTATCTCTATGTTAATATTAATCAGAACAATAGATCTTTTGCCAAGTGTACTAATAAACCAAATCTAAAACATTACATTTCTTCAAAAGAAAACAAAATTTTAGAAATAAGAATACAACACCTATATGATACATCCAGCTAGTGACATTGTGATGTCTTTATAGAGAGTAATGCTTTAATCCCCAGAATAATATCGGCAGTATGCAGAAAATTTTTAGAAAAACATTAAAATACTTCAAAATATCACTTTGGAAATATATAAGAATTTATTTTTATCATGAAAAAATTGACCTATTTTATTACTAAAATACTCCATTAAATGAACAATTTCTTGCACATACTATATTCATAGAACTATATATTATATATAGCCTTTATCGAAATATCAAAGATTTTCTTATACATTTACTTACCTGCTCAGAAAAGAAGTCACTGTTATCTTTCAGATATTTACTGAAAGGGTTGGGTTCATAGGCTTCCTCTTCTTTTTTCAGTAATATTTTGGATTTTATAGGTGCTGGGCGAATTACTCCAGGTTTAGTCTTCAGGAACATCAAATAATTTTTTTTAAGAAATAGAAAAATAAACAGAATTAAAATAAATAAATATGTTTATTATTAAGCCATTCAAATGTTTTCACAAAATTTATAATTTTTGAAATTTTAAGACAATTTTTCAAATACAGAAAAACAGCCTAGAACTCAAATGATTTTAACTAATGTAACTTAAGCTTTCAGTTAACTGTTACAGCAATCAACTCATAAAGATTCACTATCATGATGTTCAAAATGCAAAATCTTTTTCGTTTCTCTAACTAAACATGTTCTTGTATTTCTTTGCCAATGCATCCAGTCAATAACCATTTCACGTGACAAATTTTTATTGAGAGCTTCCTAGGTGCCAGACAGCATCCTCATTCTGGGCATGGTAGGATAGATGAATTTGGCACATTCACCAATCCCATAACAACTTTTCTGGAAACTGTGCCCCCTTCATGTCCCCAAATTTATAGAGCTAGGCCTCCAGAAACCACATTCAGATTATGTATGATGAATCCAGGAATGGCCTTCTGACCTAAATGGGTGGGAAGTGGGCAGCAAACAGATTTTCTTTCCCAAGAATATGGAATAGGTATTTAAACTGCTATGTGGTCACTTTGGAAGATTGAAATTATATTATGTCAATTTGGAAGCCATGGGAAAGCCTTAATCTGTCATAAAACAGGTCTGATGAGATCAAGAAAGATAAAGCAAAGTGCATGAAGAGGCAGCCCAGAGAGCAGAGACTTTGAGGGCCTTCCAGATGAATTCCAAAACATTCCTAGGGCCCAGCTGCATTTCTTGTCCTGAGGCTCCCTAAGAATTTTCTTTTACACTTTTTTTTTTCAAAGTCACGTTTACTTCTGTAGTTTGCCATTAAAGAGTTTTAGCTAATAGACCAATCATTCAAGATTCATAAACTTGTACCCAATGTCAGTTTGATGGAAGAGGGAGAGAGAGAAATCTAGTTTGGGGCAATTTCAAAATGATGTTTCCCAACCACCAAAATCTTGTTACACTGTAAAATGTCACAAAATGATTGATAAGTTTGCAAAACCATCCCAAACAAGAATTCAATAAAAAGTTGTGACTCTTTTTCTGTTTAAGCATTTTGCTGTAATCCTTCTTCTCCACCCCATTTCCTTCCGGAAAACAGTAAATTAGCTCTCCTCAGTCAATGCTGATGCTTACAAGTTAAGCCTTAAGGGACTACATCTATCTCTCTGCTCTATAAACTGCCTGAAATATTTTGAGTCTTGAATAAATGTCACTCTGCAATACTGTTTTCAATCAATATTTTCTCATTTGTCCTTTATATGTGCCAACTGGAGAAATATAGGTTGAGAAAAGTCTCTGTCTTCTCCAGGCTGAGAAATATCTCCCGCTTCAGAAACTCAAATTTTCTGCAAGGGGGAAAATGAACAAGTAACATCCAATTATGCATGAAGCCACACATTTGAATGTACATATGAGAGCAATATCCCTTCAGTAAACTCAAAACAAGAACACAGCCCAGACAGTTTCTGATTTCTACAGCCACCTGTAATAAGGGAGATGCCTGATATCTGAGTCATGATCCTAAATTGTCCAGATTTCCTGTCTCTCTTTTCCACTTGACTTCCTATTTCATTTCTCCTTCCTTCAGCTCCCACTCCTGTACTTTCTCCTCTCCTGCTCCTTCATGAGGCAGGAAATCAATACAACACCACCTGTACTCAGGGCCTACCAGGGTCTAAAACCAACATGGAGCTTTAAGAGCTAATCTTGGTGGCGGTACGCAGAAACACGAGAGCAAAGAGAAGAAATCTGACCAGGAGCACTTGATATGCTAAGAGAACCTCTCTACCAGAAAACATGACCAATGGTCCCTGTATTTCTAGCAGGCAGATGTTTTGGGTTATCCTGGCCTGGAGCCTTTCACTCAGATCTTCTCTCTTGGGATCTTCCTCTTCCAGGGTGAGACCAGAAAAGGACTCTTCTGGTTGGTTGGATATCAAGTACTTTCAGTATCAGAATCAGTTACTGATGCTTCATCTTTGCTTCTCTAGCAGCCTGTATGATCCTTAGTTCCTAGGAGTTTCCTGGATTTGATGGTTGTCTGACAACTTGATAATGATTCTCTGCTTATTTCTTCTAGTCAGGTTTTCCACCTGCTCTCTTCTTGGACTCTGGCCATAGGCTTGGTCTGCCTGAGGCCTCAGAGTTTTGTTCATTCTAGTTTGCTTACTTGGTTTTGATATGGTTGCCCTGAATTTTAGATTATATTTATCACCTTTTTTAGTCTTAATTTTCCCCTTCACCTTAACTTGTTGTCACTCAGTAGTCAGTATTTCATAGACATAGAGGTCAACTTTAGGCAAAAGAAGACTAGGCATAGTTTGCCTTCAACATAGTTCACACTTCCCTCCCAACCCTTCACTCTACTCTAGCACACACTGTGACAGTCCCTCTTTGGGGAGTTTGCATTTGCTCTTTGCTTTGTCTAGAACTCTTTTCTCTCTTTCCAGGATCTCAATCTCCACCTGGTCCTCTTACCTATCTTATTGTTTTTTCATAATACTTATCACAATCTGACATCAGTTCATGTTTATTTTCTCCACTAGAATGTAAGCTCTGTGAGGCCAGAGATCATTGTTTTGTTCACTTTTGTATTTCCAACATATAGAACCATGTCTGAAACTTAGAAGATACTAAATAAATATTTGAAGAATAGATAAGTCAATTGACATGCAGAAGCCCAGTATACTGGCTATAATCCAATATGAGTGCCTCAACAAGTGTTGGTTGCCAGCTTGGGGTCTCCCATTATTTTGCCTGAATTTAATTTTTGAACACAGCATAACCCAGGACAGGGAAATTTTTCAGGATAGAAGATCCACACTTCCTTTTACAAATAGAGGACCAGAAGAAGGAAAGTACATTAATGACTCCACCCTCAATGATAAAAGTAAAAGGCTGAAGTTATCATCTCTGATGGATATAAGAAGTCAAGGCCAGAGAACACTTCTTTAGGGTCTTTACAAAATGTAACCCTCTCCACTAAAAATAAGTGGGGTTTTGCCCCCTGTCTGCTTATGGTAATAGGCAATAAAACTCAAAAACAAAAGATGACAATACTATCATCTTTTTTTGACTATTCAAAAGTGAAGTGGAACTCAGGAGATCATACCTAACTCTATTGTTAGTCACGAGGGCGAAAAAGTCTAAGAGATAGAGTATGTGGAGTCAGTCCCCAGGGCCTGTAGGCAGGTTTTAATGGCCTATGAAGCACTGGTCTGAGTCTGCTATTCATTTGTATTTATAACTCATCAAATATACACTTATACTTCAGCACTGCTACTTGGGCACCGCAAAAATAGACATTGTTTCTGCCCTGTGGAACTTATAATTCTATGACAACAAGCTGGTACTGCCTCCGGCTAGAGACCAAAGTTGAAAATTAACTGCCAGTACTGACCTAAAAAATCCATTACTAATATTTTAAAATAATGACTTCTTAGAGCAACATCTTTCTTAAATTAGTAACTTCAACTAGTACTGATATTTTTTATTGCCTCTGACTACAGTAGTAAGCGCTGAGGTAGTTGTGATGAGGGAACAAAAGAATTGAAGAATACGGTCCCAGTTTTTCAGGGCTTATTTTTATCCTTTTGATGAAATAAGATGTGTAATAAAACAGCAAAAATGTAATAAAACACAGAAAATAGAAAATTCTGTGAGCCTAGCTAGGAATTCTACCAATTTGATATATTCAAAGAGTCTGTGAAAGTGGCATAGTTACCATTGGCTCCAGTCTTGTCTTTATTCTCCAGTTCTTTTAGTTATTTTTTAAGAGTTTCTGTGGTGCCCTGGTTGGTGTGGCTCAGTGAATTCTGCATAGTCTCGTGCACCAAAAGGTCACCAGTTCAATTCCCGCTCAGGGCACATGCCCATGTAAGGGCTCAATCCCCGGTAGAAGGCATGCAGGGGCCAGCCAATTAATGTTTCTCTCACATCAATGTTTCTCCCTCCCTCTCCTTTTCTCTCTGTCTAAAATCAATTACGGG